CTAACTTGACTGAGTCCGCCGGTAATGTTTTTGCCTGCCTCAGAACAATCTGTGGAAAAGAGGCAAGAAATATGCATTGATGTGGACATCGGTCCACTACTATCACCGACACGCCCTTGGTGGATCAAGCTGGCATAATTTCTGGCATAATCTTCGGATTTTGTGTAAAATATTATGCCCTGGCATGGAAGCACTTCTGAGGCCAGACGGCCGAAAAAGATCTTACGATGCAGGCTGAAGATAAGTGTTCCCGGCATATTTAGGCATGCTGCAGGAAATGCTGCAGGAAATAACCTGGTGAATGTTACCCCGTATAAGCTATGTTGTCATGGTGCCAGAGTCGTTGTAACATTGCAAAGTTCAACAAGAGTGCAAGGGTACAGTATAATTATCACCATCATCGGCATAATTCCAGCATGATAATGTAGCATAATCACTGGCATAATCACTGGCATAATGGATAGCATACTTCAGCAGTTTGCCGAGCATAATCCGCCAAGGACTGTTTGTATTGAGTTCACCATACCATTAGGTTGGACCGCAGCATAGTATAGCACCATCATTGGCATAATTCCAGCATACTGTAGCATACTGACTAGCATAATTGGAAACCACAATTCAGCAATTTACCGAACGTAATCTGCCAAGGACTATCATCGATTGCAGAGTTGACGGACTTATCTGTAAGGAGTTAATGTCCTATTGTAGTGTTTAAATTCATTCCACAGGTTCGAAACCTACTTCATTACTTTCCTTGAGGCAGCTGGAGTCGGTTCCAATAGTTTTCTCCGCAATTCGCGCAGTACGCCAATCCCCTATTCAGCTGGTTTCTTGCCTGGCGGACCGGCCATTGTTGTTTTGTATCGTCCACATGTTGAGCACTTTTGAGCATGCGGGCCTTGGAAACTGGATGTTCTAGTTCATTGTGCGTTGCCGTGAAACCCTGCAAGCTGACTAGTTTTACTTTGTGTCGTTCTCGGCCATTCACTCGCCTCGTCAGACGAGCGGGTGTTGTTCTCACCTGACCACATCTCACGCCTCTACCAGGTCCGTAGATCGACGTATACCTGGTATACGTGTCTGCCTTGGTCATGACTCTTGTGAGACACCTACGGCCCTAGGCCCAGGGCTAGGGCCTAGGGGTCGATCGCACACACAGACTGCTCTCACAGTCTACGGTCAACATTGTCAAACCTAGTAAGTACTGGACCTGTGCAGTTGCTGTTTTGTCCACGCTGTGTTGTTCACACCTCTGTTTGGAGTCGGGGGTTTGGGTGCGTCACTCATCAGTTTAGTTTCGATCACTATCAGTATACGGAGGATTAGCAAGACGAAATTCGCGTTCGCGTTCGCAAACATTTTTCAGTTCGCGAACTGGATTGCGAACTTTCGCATTTTTCGTTCGGAAAAGACAAGTAGTCGGAACACGAATCGCCGATTCGTGTCAGGGCAGTCATAAATTTACCACGCTGTACTGTCTGTGCACAATGTACGTCGTGTCAACGTCATGCATGTGCGAATTCTGTTTGCTAATCCTTCTCATAACGCGAATTTCCTCACTGAGTTCGACTTTCCTTGGAGAGCGAATGCGAACGCGAATTTCGTCTCGCTAATCCTCCGTAGTATGTGGACCATGGTGGACTACTTATAGTTGTACTGCCAACGGCCGTGAGGGCCTGAGGTCGAGGGAGGCACTATACGACTGTACCACACGCTCTATTCTTCTTTCACCGTGACTATAGGTTCCACTCAAAGATTCAACTCGAGTGAATCCACACAACGCAGCTCACCAGATCAAGGTGTGGGTCCTCTGAACTCAGTAGAGTCAAGTCGAGCGAGCTGCAACTCTCGGTGCCGAAACGCGGGCTCACGCCCCGACATGGCTACTTCCCCTTGTCTAACCCCCAAGACGAAAATAATAGTAGCCGACTGACCGAAATTATTAAGAAGAAAGTTTAAAAACTCGAGTGACAGGAACGCGCCCAAACAGGTTGGGAGGTTGCATTTGTTCGCACATTCGGGGCATGGAACGCAGTCGGTGCCCATCACGGAATCTGAATGAGCGTAGCAAAAAACGCGCCCGCATGCATTAAATTTTAGGAATCTGGCAAAAGTTTTGCGCAACTCCGGAAATGATGTCGAATGTTTGTTTTTTTCGTGTGAGATGGGCCTGCTGTTTCAAGTGTTTGTAGCCTTGCGAAGACTCAGTGACTGCCACTTGGCTGTCACCATGGCCATGGTAGTTGCTTCCGTACGTTTCTGCATTCGGCTATAGCCCGCCTACGACTGTCATGTCTCATGATGAAGGAGCCACCAAACACGGCGTAGATCTACGGCGCCCGTAACTAGGGTGCCTGCACTCGCGAGCTCGGCGTTTGGCGACTACTTCATCATGACTATTCGACCTAGTACCGTAGTGACATGCATAATTATAAGCGCATGTGCCTATACCCGGGCATAACGCACCCTCACATATACCGGTAAGCGCATGAGCTAATAAGTATGGATCATCCCATGAGTACGAGGGGTATACTGCCGAATATTTTCACGAGTGCGTTAGCACGAGCGAAAATATAAGGGACACGGTATACACAGAGTACGAATTGTATAATCCATTTTTCCTATGTACTGCCCCGAATAGAGCGTGACCAGCACTAAAATCTCCCTTATTGGTGTGACCCGGGGAATATTCCTGACCCCAGCGGGGAATATTATTAATCCAGTGACCCCAGCGGGGAATATTATTGACCCCAGGGGGAATATCGCTCTATATTCCCCCGCTCAGAACGGTCACTGATTGGCTGAAATGGCCCAAATCGTTTCGTACCATGGGATAAGTGAACCTAGATGCAATCCACCCTGCGACAAACAGACACCACAAAAACACCATGTTGACATAGTTAAAATGTGCATTGCGGTACTGCACTATGTGCATAATTATTCAAGTTACCGCTACACTAGCAACTCAAGCGCATGTGCCTATGTATGAGACAAAACGACCCGCAAAAAAATAGCAAATAACGCAAAAACTCACGCATAAGCACATGTGCCTTTATGTGCTTGACTACGGTATCAGAACGGACACAGAAACGTCTCTACAAGTACGACATGGATTTGAAGCGCTTATTTGACAGAGACGAGGTACTAGGTGTTGTTGTGTAGAAAGAAGTCCAGTGGCAGGCTCAGTGCCCATTTGGTCACTTTGTGCTATGGATAGTCGGGCTCGAAAAATTGTTCTGGCTTGCCTCGGGGACCTCCGTTTTTATAATAGTTTTTATTGGTCATAAGCCATCGGCCTCCTCTTTTATTGTATACTTAAACTGGTTAAGGAGGTATCTTAGGGGGCAGACAATTCCAGAGGGTGCCGTATTTATGGAAAAAGAGATTTGAACAGCGTTGACCATGGTTTGTCAATATCAGCTTATTGGGACGTCGTGCACTGGTTGTGATATGTATACCAAAATTAGATAAGTAGCGGGGATAGACATTAACGTACTTGAAGAGAAGGACAAGAGAGATGTGTTGCCTTCTATAATGCAAAGACTCTAGAAAACATAGCTTATTAAGATTTTCCTTCGTTTCATGTGTGTCAAACTGAACTGCTTTCTTCCGCAAAAAGGCGCAGCATACCTTAGCCTGCAGAACATCCAATGCTGAAAGTTGCTTTGCAGTCATGCGGCAATGCCAGACCGGAATTGCATATTCTAACGCAGGCCGAACATACTGTTTGTATAGCAATAATGTTACAGAAGGGTGGTGGCGTTCCTACGGATGCGGAAAACCCGGCTTCCAGCCGAGTCTCACGCGAACCGTGAAAAAAAAAATGTTACAGATGGTGGTAGAGACCGTGCCATGAAGCATAGCAGTGTTGTTGTGTAGAAAGAAGTCCAGTGGCAGGCTCAGTGCCCATTTGGTCATTTTGTGCTATGGATAGTCGGGCTCGAAAAATTGTTCTGGCTTGCCTCCCTGTGATTCTAGAGGCCCTGCTCGACGATGAGGAGGAGAGGTACGACGGCGCATTTCCAGTTCTTGTCCTGGTCGAACGCTTTCTGAGGCAGCAAATGGTCAATATACCACGAACAAGTTACCGTGCCGAGGTTATAGTACCAGCCTATACCCTGGATGATATCCGCCGACAGATACTAGTGTTTGAAGTTTTGTTGGCGGAGGTATGCAACAGCGAAAAAGCCCCCGGTGGCCTCCGCGCATTTTCAATCCGCCTGGAATGAGAACTCATTCCACTTTTCTTTGGAATCGCCACAATCGATTCTGCCCCATTCATTCCGCGACCAGAATCGGAATTGCACCAAACAAACGCTGTCGCGTGCATCAAACAAAGGCACCGGAACTAAACCACGGTGGGATTCAGTTCGGAAAAACACCGAACAAACACCTGGTCCCTGCTGGCACGGTGACTATATCGACTAGGCGACTGGTTGTACCCACAAGCACGTGACCGCTTATTCAACCGTGTTCGATTAGAGCCCAATGTAACTCCTGCGACGAGCGATGGGCAGCACCTTTTTACACGGCAGACTCACGTGACAGCTCGAATACGGTTTTGGACTGTGCATGCCCAGCAGGATTTTGCAGCGACATGCCGCGCATTGTGCGTCAAAGTATCTTTCCCGCGATACGAAAAAGACTCGCTCGATGCGCATCGCAGAGAAGTGTACGCGATTCTACACAATTCTATTTTTGATTGTACAATACTCTACAGGAGGTCATACATCTGTGCGACATGTTTAAATGACCATTCACAACACCACTTTGAGCGAAGGGACACGCGACTTGCGACGCTTGCGACGATTTGGGACTGCGACACTCGATTCACCATCTTTTTTTGGTTGTTGCGACATACCTCTACACTATGCACCCCCGAGAAGAAACTGTACGAACCTTTGTGATAATGTGCCGCTCAAAGTGGAATACTCCATTCGATGTTGCGGGGCACATGTCACGAAAGTTGGCCAACTTCTGCAACAGTGGTCGATACGAGACAGGCATTTCAGTATGGCAAGTGTTGTATTGTGATAATTGTGAATGAGTTATTGGTCGTGAGGCAGAAAAATCCAGGACAGCAATCTGGATACATTGATCTATTCATTGTACTTAGTGAATAGAGCAATTTGGAGGGAAAAGAACCACATGCGAACACGGGAAAACTTGACAAAGAAACCATGAACCAGATAGGACAACAATGCGCTTGTGTGCATGATACGTGAGAGCAGTACAGAGATGGGTGGATGGTGAGAGAGAGAGAGAGAGAGAGAGAGAGAGGGAGAGAGACGGAGGTAGACGAGAGAGATAGATAGATAGATAGATAGATAGATAGAGAGAGAGAGATAGACGAGAGAGAGAGAGAGAGAGACAGAAAGAGAGAGAGACCGACAGACCGACAGACAGACAGACAGAGAGAGAGAGAGAGAGTGTGTGTTTGTGTTTACGTTTGTATGCCTGGGTGTGACAGATAAAGAGAGGAAATCAACAAGTAATGAACCATAGTACGTGCAACCATTCAACGAAAAAAGCCATCTAACAATGCTACAACGACATTTTGCCTGGAGTAAATTCTTCAGCGGTACAACAAGGTTCCGGCACGGATTTGATCAGGAATATCTGCTTGTAGTTAACAGGAGTTGGAATGAATTGGCTTCGTGTATTATACATGCAAAAAAAGACAGTGGACAAAGTACTCTGCAGAATGACACTGTCCATTCGAAATCACTGCCGTTGGCTACCACACTGGATGAGAAAAAGGTTGCTGAGGTATGCACATTGTGAGTTCCCTCAATGTGTTTGAGCATTGCAACTTCTGACCAAGCTTCACTTCTATGTTTGAGCAGCTAGTAGACGTAGAAGGCGGAACGTCATTGTTTCATATGGCACCGGCATGCCTGTTCATGACCGTTTATTCTAAACTGTTGGAGATGTCTGCGTTGTAAGTAGAAGATGGAGCAGTTCGGCAGTGCTCATGTTCAAGCCCAGCATATAGTCTGCTGCATCATGACCAACCCTGGACATGGAGGCTCTGTGTTGCCTATTGTTGAACACCGGCTTCATCAGCTGGTGTTTGCTGGCCTCTTCCCTGCACGGAGTATTCCGGCTTAGTACAGCCACCATGTGGCACTGAACGGCTTGATTGGCCCGTTTTTGGCACCGAGTATATAATCTCATCAGTAACACCATCATGTGGCATAGAACTGCTTGGTTGGCCTCTACTCGGCGCCATGTAGTCTGCATTATTATCACCACAATCATCGGGCATTGAACTGCTGTGTTGGTGGCCAATCAGTACTGCATATTCACCATCCATATTGCCACCATCATGTGGCATGGAATTGCTCAGTTGGCCTCCTCTTAACACTGAATATTCACTAGCAATACTAGTACTATCACCTTCATGAAGCACAGCACCTTGCTTTTGGCCTATAGTCGGAATCGAGTAACAGGTCTCTGCAGTGCCGCCATCAATGGGCATGGAACTGTCGTCTTGACCTACGATCAACATTGAGTGTTGAATGTTGTTGTTGTTGCTGCTGCTGCTGCTGACGCTGCCTATGCGATCATGTTGCGTAACAGTACTGTTTCTCCCTCTGTTCGGCAAAGAATATTGGCCGGGATTCCCGCTACCGCTGCCATCATTTCCTGTGGCAGCTTTAAGCGGGCATTTCGTCTGCCCTGAGTGCCCCCGTGTGCTGCAACAATTTGCATTCTTTTCTTCCAGTTGGTGACATGAAGCGATTGTTTCTTCGTACACTGAGTCACCGCTGTCAGTAACTTGATGTTGATCACAGCTGTGCGATATGGAAACAGCACCATTGCCCTTCTCACTGTGTTTTGATGTTGTGAATTCATAGAGATTTTCTTTAGACAGTGCATGGTGATTGCCATTCAGTGATGCGGGCATTGCATAGAGCTCATTGCTGCTAGGAGCTATCTCTTGTACAGTGTTCACTCCTTGACTAGCGCTGTTGCCCTCTTTGGCTTGATCATCACGTATATTGTCAGGCGTAGAGCACAATGCACTGCCAGCATGCCCACCTTGTAGGGCGACAGGCGCATCAGATTCGATTAGGTCAAGGAGCTCGTAGATTTCACTGCATTCATTGCCGTTTCTGGTGCATGTTGCAGCAGCCGCTGCAGCAGCAGCATCAGCGGTGGCGGTGGCGGCGGCAGCAGCAGCAGTGGGTAACTGCTCACACTGGTGTGCCTTAACAGCGTCTACTTCGTACCATTCGTTGTCGTTCGCCTCCTTACTGTTGCTGTAGTCGTAACACGTTTGTAAATCCGTACTGGCATCACGACAATTGCTGTAGTTGAGGGACATTTTGCGATTCGTACAAGCTTTAATTTCATTCTTATTCATATACTCGCTGAGTTTGCTTCCTTTGCATTTTAATGGTGTTGCAACCAGACTGCGTCTGCCAACATTCATACTTGATGCGTCTAGTTCATACTCATTGCTATTCGTACTAGCATTATCAAATGCATTGGGAATATCAAACGACATGGGCCCACTGGCAGTCGATTTCCTGTCAAATTTGTCCAGGGCTAGGAAGTCGGAGCAATAATGTTCCCACTGTTCCGAATCGTGCTGTGCTGCACCTGTTCCCTCGTCAGCGTCCAACATACTGCACGAACTCCTATGCGAGTTGCATATACCCTCGTATATCAGATCATCGGTGTGGGCATAGAGCGTCTCCTCGTGGACAGTAGCGTTCACATCATCACCACCCAGGTCACTGTATAAATCATGTCCTGTCACGCCCAATGCTGTTGTCACAATTGACTGGTTTGTTTGTTGGGTTTTCAGCAACTTGCCAGTGTCACTGCCGTTGGGTTGCGACAGTTGGATGCTGGGCACCGTTCTTAAACTACCATGCTTTTGCTCGTTTACATTGGGCAGTTTCCTGATCTGGATGTTAGAATCAATCTGCTTCACAGGGTGAAACAGTGGCATTCCTTTCAGCAGGGTAGTTCCTGCCGGGCCTTTGCCTCTTCTGCCAGAGTACACAAGTATGATGACAATAAGGAGCACGGCACAAGCGAAGAAGCTTCCACCAATAATGAGAAATAAAGTTGCTGACGACTGTGCCTGACCTGTACCGGCGTTATCTAAGGGTACCATGGAACAAAAATTGCATGTACACAGACAAACCCACATGTTTTGCATGCACACACACACACACACACACACACATGAACAAACGCACACCCACACACACACACACACACACACATAAAATTATATATACACACATATATACACACAAAGGTCAAAAAGAATGGTTCAACCCATTATATTATACATACGTTGTAACGCTGCGTTTCATGCACGTAGCTAAATGCATTTAGCTGCGTGCATGAAACGCACTATAATGGGTTGAACCATTCTTTTTGACCTTTGTGGTTACGCTCCGCCCTTGTGGTGTTGAGCACTGTTGAAACCTGGGTATACCCACTTATGTGCACATATAATTATACACATAATACATACATACACACACACACACGCACGCACACTCGCACATACACACACACACACACACACACACACACACACACACACACACACACACACACACACACACACACACACACACACACCATTGGACCATTGGACGCCCATCGCCGGAGGCGATGATAGCGATGCTACAGCAGAAGCCATAGCAACTTGTGCTGGGATTGCACCATTCAACAGCTTGCAAGGCTGAAGAATTGGCCGCCACTATTCAGCCTGGTCTACACCACACAGCTATGAAGTGGTTTTTTCTGGCCAGTGAATCCCTACTTTTTGGTCTTTTTATTTTTATTTTTTTCCTGCACACACATCACACCACATACTCCGGCATGCACTGGCTGTTGGTAACCACCCAGGAGAATGAAAGAAAAGTCAGGAAGAGTCTGAGAAAGAGAAGAAAGACGTGTGTGACCATAATCGTCGGGAATCGAACCCGCAACCTATCGATTGGAAATCGCTGCACATGGTGGTAGGTGGTGTGGTGCACACACACACACACACACACACACACACACACACACACACACACACACACACACACACATACCCATGCATGCCCGCAAACACCCACACACAAACATAAATTCCTGAGAAGACACCCATGCACAGGCACACAGAGCGAAACTAGATAACTGTGTGAGATAAGGCAGAACACTGCACTTTACACTGCATAGGCACTGCATAGGCACTTTACACTGCATAGGCACTGCATAGGCACTTTACACTGCATAGGCACTGCATAGGCACTGCATAGGCACTTTACACTGCATAGGCACTGCATAGGCACTGCATAGGCACCTTACAGATGTAGGTCCACTGTTGTTAGGCTAATGCCTGTTTTTTGATTATCACTTTAAATGAAGTATACAGCAGCCACAACAGAGATATGGAGCTATCTTTAGGTCGGAAACCCAAATCCGCCTCGTAGGGCATATTAAAAACAACTTTTTTGTTTTTGAATATAATAATAATAAACACAGCTCGCATCTTCCCTGAACCTGTTAGACAGGAGCAGAGTCGACGCATCTGTCAACAGTGTCAAGCCAAGTTAGTCTATCTCCTGCAGCTTGGAGAGCGCTCTCCACGGAGAGATCCGCTGCCTTCAGGTCGTGCCGAATCGTATCTATCCACCGCAATGGCGGACGGCCACGGGTTTTTTTTATGTCGTTTGTGTTGATTGATAGCTCCAGTGCTTGGAACGAGGCGGATTCCGGACCCTCTCGCACCACATGGCCAAACCACAGCAGCCTGCGTCGCCGACATGTGGCACTAACTGGAGATTGTTTTGTTTCTGTGTATAAGTTGTTATTGGTGATGCGTTGCGGGTAGACAATCTGCAGCAGTACGCGTAGCTTCCTCCGTTGCCATTTGTCCAGTTTGTCGTTCAGCAATTTGGACAGAGTCCACAATCCGCAATTGTATAGAAGGATCGGCATTATGAGGCAGTTAAACATACACAGTCGGGATTGAAAGGAATGCCGTCTCCAAGAAATCGAACCAAACGCCCTGTTTGCTTTTGAGTTTCTCATGTCCACGTCTTCTGCAGAGCCCAATAGAGAACCCAGGAGTTTGATTGATCTCCATTCGTTGCTGTTTCTTGTAACATCAACATATTCAGTTTTCTGTGTATTGAGGTTGAGGTTGTCTTCGTTAAATATAGGTTCACACTCAGCAACAAGAGCCTTCGCCTCATCGTCATTTCGGTTATGCAGAGTAGTATCGTCAGCGTACTGCGTTGTTGGAGCAGGCATTGGTGAGCGAATTGTGCATCTTTCCCTTATCTTGCGCATTGTGCCTTCTGCATATGTTATGAACATAATAGGGGACATCGGGTCTCCCTGGACCACTCCGATGTTAGTTGGGAAAGGGGGACTCAGGGAGCCACTCAGCTTGATCCTGGCTGTCGTGTTTTTGAATATACCAATCCTGAAAATATTCTCTGGGAAAAGATAAAGAGCACACGTGCAAGTCAAGTGCATTCTTTTGTACGGTGTTTGTATGTGTCAACCCATGGCAGAGGAGAAAGGTACTTTTGCTCACAGCCAGTGGACTCACTGACAGCATGGGGAAGCAGGCGGAGGACCAAGTTCGAGCCCACAAAGTCGCAGGCATTGACCGTCAGCCATCACTGCTCACCAAACCCTCCAATGATAATACGCTTCCAGGAGCAGTCATGCCTGAAGCGGAGGAACTCAAGCTTTTTGGCATTACTTTCGACATGCAGCTAACAGGCAGCTGGCATTCCACAGCCGCATTTGATAGCTTGCAGTGTGTGAGGCCCAGTGGCTGTGTTAGACCCAAAACACCCGGCAACTGTGTATTGTGGCTTTCACGGTCCGCCCAGTGTTACAGTACGGCATGCTGGTGTGGATGAGTATGGCCCCTACCGCCTTGGTCCGCCTCACTGACATCTAGCACTGTGCCCCATAAATAATTGGAGACGGATCATACCTCCCAGGCCTTCACATTCGATGCACCATAGCAGGGCTGTGTTTCCTGTACAAGCTACACTTTGCGGAGGGTCCGGAAATGCTGAGAGTCATTCTGCCACCATCAGCAGCCGCAGCACAGTGTTGCATGTCTACTCTTGCGACCACCAGACCTGCAGCACACCACCCGTCACAAGGAGCCAGTATCCTTATTCCTCAGTCACGGAACAACACACTTCGCTCATTTCCCCATTTCCTCCCCGCTATGTGGAATCATCTCCCACCTACCCTTCTGCAGCCCCCCCCCTTCTCGCAGAGTTATGATCACATTCAAGAAAAAGGTCAAGAATGGGCCACAGGCAGTTTATGATCTCTCTCTCTCTCTCTCTCTCTCTCTCTCTCTCTCTCTCTCTCTCTCTCTCTCTCTCTCTCTCTCTCTCTCTCTCCCTCTCTCTCTCTCTCTCTCTCTCTCTCTCTCTCTCTCTCTCTCTCTCTCTCTCTCTCTCTCTCTCTCTCTCTCTCTCTCTCTCTCTCTCTCTCTCTCTCTCTCTCTCTCTCTCTCTCTCTCTCTCTCTCTCTCTCTCTCTCTCTCTCTCTCTCTCTCTCTCTCTCTCTCTCTCTCTCTCTCTCTCTCCCTCTCTCCCTCTCTCTCCCTCTCTCTCTCTCTCTCTCTCTCTCTCTCTCTCTCTCTCTCTCTCTCTCTCTCTCTCTCTCTCTCTCTCTCTCTCTCTCTCTCTCTCTCTCTCTCTCTCTCTCTCTCTCTTTCTCTCTCCCACCTCCATCGTATATGCCACCGCCCTCGGTGTGCAGCATCTAAATGCTTCTGTGGTATTCAGTATTTAAAAGAAAAAGAAGAAGAAAACAAAACGCTCACACCTGGTCTCTTTTGTGTCATCTCTCACGAATATAACTTGCAGGAAAACCGTGTACTTCCACCCACATTCACACCCACATTCACACCCACATTCACACCCGAACAATTTTACACATCCTGTACTACAGGCTGTTAAGGCAGTGTCATGAATTTGTCGTAAAGTGTGCTCTCAGATGACGTACTCCTCAGATGACGTACTTCTCAGATGACGTACTCCTCAGATGACGTACTCCTCAGATGACGTACTCCTCAGATGACGTACTCCTCAGATCACGTACTCCTTTTTGGAATAGAAACTTTTCAGGATTTGCATGGTGTCCACTTTCACAGGCTGAGCCTCTCACTTCTCAACTAAAATAAAAAACAGTCTCTCCACTTTGAATAGCTTGGCCTTGCTACACATTGGCGTGCCTGACCCCCTGGCCAATCATCAGGGCTACTAATATGCGATCCGAGCTTGGGTCAAAGTGCCGCCATGAGAATAAATATTACTTGTCAATTCTGTCACCTGGTTCTAGCAGAATATCGCTTACTTAACCCTCTTGGCAATCATTTTCCAAAATATTTGAGGACCCCAGTTGCCAGTTGCCAAACCTGGAATTTTAGAACTTACTATTGGCCCTGTTTTTAGCATTTATATGCAGAGTACCATAGGCAAGGCCCAGTAGCGCTGAATGGGTTAACCGCAAACATCCGTTTTCCACAAATATATCTGTGTGGGCGTGGTAACCGGATAACCGAACAGCGGATATGTTGCATGCACTATACGTACTGTAAATCGGTAACCAGCTATGTTCTTCCGGATGGCGAGGGATCCGGATAAAAGAGGACCGGATAAGCGAGGTCTGACTGTATAACTATTATTTTAAAGCGAGGTCTGACTGTACACAGAAACGAGAGAGCTTGAAAGCTCAGGGCCCTACGCTATGCTTTGTTTCCTAGCTCATCGTGCATGTTGTTAGAACTGATGGAAATGTTTTTTTCCTTTGATTAGCTACATCATTGTATTGCAAAAACGTTTCAATGAGTTACTGAAGTAACGTCTTCTGCATAGCTATGGGACCGGCGCTGACTCTGCCGATCACGCGGGCGTTCTGGAGTCGACGGGATGTCTGTCCTGACGTTTCCTGGGATCGGCGCTGACTCTGCCGATCACGGGCGTTCTGGAGTCGACGGGATCTCTCTTCCGACATTTCCTGTGACCGGCGCTGACTCGCCCGTTCACACTTATTTTGGAGACGACAGGATCTGTCTTCCAAAGTATGTTGTTGCTGACGCATCCTATCACCTATTCGGCAACTAACGTCCATACTAATTGCATTTCCTCCTCGTCTCCCTAGTTCTTTCCAGAAAATCTCCATATACATCAGGGAGTCGTATACAGCTGTACATACTTAATACAGCTGTACATAATACGACGAATATTCTGGCCAGCTAGCGCTAGAGCTGTGTTCGATGGTACGGAACGGTACGGGACAGATACGGGAGCCAGCAAATATTGTGGCCAGCTGTTTGTGGCCAGCTGTGTTTGATGGTACGGTACGGGAAAGGTACGGGATAGCTCCAGGCGTGACACAAACAAACAAACAAGCAAACAAACACCAAATTAAAGCTGTGTGGACCCTGGCTAGCGCCAGACGTTACTGAAGTAACGTCTTCTGCATAGCTACGGGAATAAAACACTTTCTCTCTGCACCTAACTCTAGACCAAATAACATCTCTTATCAAGCTTTGTGACCTGATTCCACGAGAATATCATCTAACAATACACACTCTACACCGTGCTGCATGTCATATGGTAATTAGAGAGGTTTTGCATTCCGAATTTCGGAATTATTTTCGGAATGTGGCGGCAGAAGTCGAAAAAGTAGTCGAACTTTCGAAAGTGTGGTGGCGAAAGTGTATGGTTTTCCGAAAATGGATTTTCGGCTCTTTCATGTTTGGGAGTGCATATTTGAATACAAAAAAGTGTATTTTTCATGTTTGTATTTCTGTTTTCTGCTGCTCTTGATTATTTGAAATGTTTTCCACCTACCGGGGTATGTAGTTTTGATTTTTGCTGGTTTTTGCTGCTCTCGCTGATCTCGCCATGTTGACTAATCTTTTCACACTCCATCACACTCTATCTTCCTTTGCCATGGAGCCTACTGACAGTACAAGACAGTAGTTCGCCAACCTCGTCTTCAGCTGTTGGATCACTTGGTCCACCATCAGTCCGTCCTCGTCTTCGAAACGCACCCAGTTTGACCTGCACATGGATTTGATCCTGCTCAACCCCTTCGATGCTCTCCATTTTGTTTTGCATGGCAACCCTTGCTTAGAAACGAAGTGGAATCAAATTTTCCAAGAGTCCATGAAAACCTTTTCATGTACTCTTGTATTTTCGGAATGCAAAACACTGAAAATGCCGTTTTTCGGCACGCGCTTTTTTCGGAAAAGCACAGTCGAAAATCGTTCCGAAATTCGGAATGCAAAACCTCTCTATTGTTATACTGGGCTTGCCACATTCATGGTACCGTATTTTACCGGTTGTAAGTCGACCCCGGTTATAGGTCGACCCCCGTACCCGGAGGTCTCAGTTCTGCGTTTTAAAGTTTTCACCCAAAAAAGCACTACTAACCACTCCCTTCTACTAACACATCAACAAATCATGTAAACATTCCTTATTGGAGGGTGTAATGTCCCAATTCTTGAAGAAGGCTAATAAACTCGCAAAAAGGTGCACACATAGTGCACTCGTGCATGCAGTGCAGGTCGTTTTTTGTAAGATACTGATAGTTCCCGGTTATAAGTCAAATCCCGGTTGTAAGTCGACCCCCCCCCTTTCTCCTATTTTAAGTCGTAAAAGGTCGACTTACAACCGGAAAAATACGGTACATGTATATAGCAGTACTCTCAGGGCATGGCCAGTATCAATTTCGTTTGATGATGGATTCAGTACGTGAAACCGCAACGGCTCGTTCCTCTGTGTAATCATATTATTACCGTGAAAGCCCGTGTATAGGACCCGGGAGTATAGAATAGCAGTCTCGTTTCCCTGGGCGTTTGCAAGGGCACAGGCGTTATTTTTGAACCGGGCGTATACTTGAAATAGGGATAGCAGTAAGTACTGGGTATCAGTACCTGTATATGTACTGGTGTTGCCGGCATACCTGGGCGTATACATTGGCATGGGCGCTATTTTGGAACAAAAGTGTTGACTTCCCCTGACTGGGCGTGTACATGGAGGATGAGCGTATACAGGGGCTTTTCCGGTACCTTAAAATACCGGCAGAGCGCCCCGTCTCTCCTATCCGCCCCTCCCTGACTTCTTGTCAGGGAAGTGATTGATTGTATCCTCATATGACTCTGTGATGCCGTAATGTACTGCAGAAGCGAGCTCAACCCCGTTGGAAATGTATGCAACAGTGCCCACCCTCTTGATCAGGGATCGCACAAACCTGGTCTGAACGACTCCTGGCTCTTGACCTTTGGTCGGTGTACGAGATGCACGAACAGCTTTCGTAGGGTGAGTACTTTTCATGTAGTACTGAATGCGGCAAGTAGGACTCGCCCATGCACCCCTCCTCACCTGAACCTACTCGAAGCGTCGAGGAGGTAGGGGCGCTCTGGCAGGATTCTACAGTATGAATAACAAAGTTGAAGTGGGTAGGCACTTATGCAGCTACACATGGGTAGGCACTTATGCAGCTACACATGGGTAGGCACTTATGCAGCTACACATGGGTAGGCACTTATGCAGCTACACATGGGTAGGCACTTATGCAGCTACACATGGGTAGGCACTTATGCAGCTACACATGGGTAGGCACTTATGCAGCTACACATGGGTAGGCACTTATGCAGCTACACATGGGTAGGCACTTATGCAGCTACACATGGGTAGGCACTTATGCAGCTGCACATGGGTAGGCACTTATGCAGCTACACATGGGTAGGCACTTATGCAGCTACACATGGGTAGGCACTTATGCAGCTACACATGGGTAGGCACTTATGCAGCTACACATGCAACAGTGAGGAAAAGGAGGGGGGGGGGGAGGGGATCTCAATAGACAAAATGCAATGATAGAGTGCTAGAAGGACAGCTGAAAACGATTTCTACAACTCGCCTTTTTTCGCTCTACGCGAGCCCCAGGCAAATTTGTTTCACGTTAATTTAAATATAAATAACGGAATTGCCAGAAAAGGGAAACAAGTCAAATCCGCCAGAACGCCAACCTGCAAAACTGCTTGTCATGAGCAATGCTATAAACCACCTTAACTGTTTGACTAGACCGAACCTAGAGGCTGCTGGCGAACGTTTCACTCCACGGCCGGTTCACAACACGTGCCACACATGCAAAGTCACTCCCACATTCACTTACGAATTGATGTTGAAGTGGTATGGAAGCCAGTAACTGGTTGCTCCTTCACTGCCTGCTGTTGCTGCTGCTGCCGCTGCTGCTGTGTCTGCTGCTGTTGTTGCTGCGTCTGCTGCTGCTGTTGCTGCGTCTGCTGCTGCTGTTGCTGCGTCTGCTGCTGCTGTTGCTGCGTCTGCTGCTGCTGTTGCTGCGTCTGCTGCTGCTGTTGCTGTGTCTGCTGCTGTTGCTGTGTCTGCTGCTGCTGTTGCTGCGTCTGCTGCTGCTGTTGCTGCGTTTGCTGATGCTGTTGCTGTGTCTGCTGCTGCTGTTGCTGTGTCTGCTGCTGCTGTTGCTGTGTCTGCTGCTGTTGCCGTGTCTGCTGTTGCAGTGTCCGTTGCTGTGTCTGCTGTTGCGGTGTCTGCTGTTGCGGTGTCTGTTGCTGTGTCTGCTGTTGCGGTGTCTGTTCCTGTGTCTGCTGTTGCGGTGTCTGTTGCTGTGTCTGCTGTTGCTGTTGCTGTTGCTGGTGACTAGTACTAAGAATATGAACAGTTGAGGCTGAGTCTATTGCAGTTGGGGATGGCGTGGATGTTGACCCCGCTATTGTCCCTGACGTAACAGCAATGACGGTCCTTGACGCTGGAACCAGAGTGCTGTATAATGTTGGATCAGAGACAGTTTCTGCTTTGGTGGTGTGAGGGGGAATGATTAGTGAATTTGCAGTGGTCGGATTGTTGGTTTGAGCTGTGGTTTGAACGATTGTTGGAGTGGTGGCTTGTGTGGTGGTTTGAGTGGTGGGTGGAGGTTGAATTGCAACTCCTAAAGCATAAACAAAATATGAACAGCGTAGCAGAAACCCTCTTAAGAGCTGTGTATATCACTGTTGAGGCATCCGATGGTAAATAAAATAAATACCACTACTAGAATGCACAACCAGAGGAGATGAATGATAAGATGCTGTTTACACTGTAACTGTTCTAGCTTCATGCCCTGAGAGATATGCAGACACTTCTTGCAGCAGGTCGACTCATTTTAACCATACATGGTTCAATATGGACCTTAGATATTTTGCTCATTCCTCACATAAATCATGATTTAAATTTATCTACCGTATAAGTACAAATTTTCGTTTGGAATAAACTTTCGCTATATTCGTTTAATAGGGGGCACGAAATAACTAAAGTTTGTACCAAACTGAAGTTTTTTTCTGAATGTTCGGGGTGACAGACCTCGACCAAAAACGAAATTTAGTACGTAACAAGCCTGCTGGAGGAGTGACCCAACGAAGGATTTCGTGAACGAAAACTTTGTACTTATGCAGTATTTTGGTATCACATCAATTTGCAAATTGATTTGTGTCTCGTGACAATCATTGAAGATTATTATGGTACTGAAGTTCCAAATGAATGTCATCCATATGGTTGTCCATGCACACAGCTTCACAGGCAGTTACCATGATTTGAAAGGCCAGGGGTGTGCGCATTCAGGTCGTCCTATCGCTATTTGGCTTGGATAATTAATCTGCAGTTGATTTGTGTACATGTTGCAAAATAGCGCTAGGATGACCTGAATGGACAACCGTACGGATGACGTTCATTTTGAACTTCAGCTACACAATAATATTCAATGATTTTTATGAGACACAAATCAATTGGCGAATTGATGTGATAAAATGCAACCTTAGAGTGGATAAATTTGAATTATGATTTATGGGAGGAATGTCTAGTAGTATAGAAAAGTATTAGTTCCTTGATGTTGGCAAAGATGTTCGTAGAGAACAGGTGCTCTCAGCGCTCTCAGGTGCTCTAAGCGCTGGCGACCAGCCCGGCCGTGCATATGTAAGCACTCTCGGCGGGCTGGCCCGCTTGCTCCAGCCCGGGCTGGAGTTGCACATATAATAGGCCCCCAAGACCACAGACGATCAAATACGACGGAGACAAGACGGCAACCGGACGAATACAACGGACACAAGACGAGAAAATGTGTATACAATGGGGACAAAAAGAGAAAGTGTGCATACGGAGGAGACAAAAGACGGTGCAGCCGCATGTACAAAGCATTCAAAGACAGCGCCACTGCGTGTACCATGGGTCAGCTGCATTCACGGCAAATAGACACAAACGCAGCAGCGTGTACGACAAATTGCTACAGGTGCACCCGCATGTAGAACGAAACTCTACTAACGCTGCCGGATGTACAACAGATAGATAGTTAGATAGAAAAATAGATAGGTAGATATGTTGCGAAATTGTATTACGACTATGATTTACGCATGTTGTATTTGGTTCTTGTCTTGTAGAGTCCAGTGTCTGATGTCATAATTATATTATATGGTCTAAGTGTACGTGCGAGTATGGTGTGATGCGTGACGTTTATGGTATGTGGTGCATGCAAGAGTACGCTTTGTGAGAATGTGATGATCTGCTTCCGTCTGTGTGAGAGTGACTGTCAAGTGAATGCTGTACATGCGCAGTGCTAGTTTGGTCTTGGAATGAAAGTCATGTGTGATTCGTCCGTGGTCTGGTTGTCTTGGTCTTGGTCATGTGTTCTGTACGTACTTGTCCCTGATTGGTCGTACCGATTTGTCCTCGCAATATTACTGCTTGTTCTTGGTTGTTTCTTCGTGTCTTTTTCCGTTGTCTTTTCCCGTGTCCATTTTCGTCTTTCTCCTCCTGTGCCCTCGCCGTTTATTATTGACAATTGAATGCTAGTATTGAAGCTAACTGAACGGTGTGTTGCTGTGTGGCGGGGGCCAGGGGGAGAACAATTTACTATTTCAGATAGATACTCAAATCTGTGGACAGCAACTGTTTCGCTCTGCTAGAGCTCCTCAGCACAGCTCAGACGACCGAAGCGCAGATCTTCGCAATGAAATACGACATACAATAGATAGATAAATAGATAGATAGATAGATAGATGGGTAGATAGATGGAGATAGATATATAGTTTGCTGTTTGCGTTATGCAGAGCTCCCTGATTCGTCAGTTGGAGCACTCTGGCAAGGTGCGTTCGAGCCTGGTTTTAATCTGGCTTTGCAAATTTTATTTTTCATTGCTATCAGGTCCGTCCTGATTTCCTCTGTGCTGCGCTGATGAGTTCACAAAGGACGAAGCAGTTATGTCCGCAGATTGAGTAGAAAGAAAGATAGATACTAGATATCGTATCAGAAGAAGACTGCTGAACAAAAGAAGCGAAGTTATCGCAAAATGACGCCACGCAAGCAAGTATCGCCTAACCAAGTTCACCGGGGTCACCTAACAGTAACAAGCGAGGAAAGCACACTGCGCTCTGGCCAGCGGACGTGACAACCCACCTGACTTGCAACGGATTTCTCCATCAAAATTGCGCGAATATGATTGTTACTTTTCATAACACTTTGTACAAGGCCCACACTCGCAAGCTCTCCACTTGACATTCTCTAGAATGCCGTAATAAGAACTGTGCAACACCTCTGCACGCGCATGGACTCCAACGTTCTGGTCTGGCTATTCTCCCAAACAGTCCAAAATTGCCGAGATCAAGTTCTGGCGATTTTTCTAAGTCACCAGAGCCGCATCTCTCTGGAGGCTCTTGAACGATCCCGGGTACTAGATACATGACATTGACGTCTGTTGGCTGAGTCACCACGTACATGTGGAAAAAGAACGTGAGAGAGAGAACTCCATGGTTTTGATTCGACACGCGGAAGCACGACGCTTCTCCTTCACAGAATGGAAGCACGCGCAGTTGTGCTGGTACAGGGTAGACTGGCCTGCCTCGACAACCGTCTACCTCTTGTACGCGAGAATCGCCATGTGCCACTCACCAGCTCGTGGTTTGGATTCCAGCATCTGGGTACATTGAGTTACATGTAGGTCGAACTTCTCAGCCATGTGGTAGCACCACAAAAAGGAACGCGCCAAGTTTTGCTCGACAGAGGTAGTATAGTCTTGTAGCTGTATTGAATTGGCACGACTTTTTCCCTGCAGAAAGTCGACAAATTTCCAGTCCGCATTCTGCGATTTTGTTCAGTTTGGATCACGTGCCCGCTTCATGCGCTATCATGGCATGTGCTGAATAGTTTGAACTGTGTACCGGCACTAAGGCCATTCACAAGGAAGAGCAGCTACAAGTACCATATTTTGCTGCATATGCTTTGGAGTTTTTCGCTCGTGGAGCTGAAGCCGAGATGATACCTCCACCAGCTAGTCAGTCGACATTTTGCTAAAACCTGACGGAGTGCAGAGGCCAGCTAGCTCTCGGCGGCAAGGGAAGAAAATTCGCTTTGCGATAGACTGTCATTACAGAAAGAAGCTACATTTGTGTAGCAACGGCGTAAACCAGCAGCCATTTCAACCTATCTATAGTTACTTCTGCTTCAAGACATTCCAATCTCTACTAGTCCTGGTTGCTTCTGATCACAGCAAGTCAGTGTTTTGACCATCAAAGACTTCTGCAAAAGATTTTAGCAGCACATGAAAATACTACTTCAGTAGTACGCTTTGGGAATGCATTGCTTTGAATCTCAGCGCTTAACACCTTTCCTTGTGAAGTGAGCCCTACATGTTTGCTAACTTAGCGAGATTCAGACTCGAACAAAAGAATGTTAGCAGCTCCAAAGAGAAAATCCAAAGTATCCACCTTGTGCTTGTGCTTGTACCCGCATTTACACCCAAACAGGCAACCACATCATTCGACTTTATGTAACTGCACGTTGGAGTGGGATAGAAAAGAGAGAGAGAGAGAGAGAGAGAGAGAGAGAGAGAGAGAGAGAGAGAGAGAGAGAGAGAGAGAGAGAGAGAGAGAGAGAGAGAGACAGAGACAGAGAGACAGAGAGGGAGACAGAGAGACAGAGAGTCAGAGAGACTGGAGAGAGAAAAAGGGAAAGAGAAAGATAGCTAATTTCTTTGGTCAGGATGACGAATCCAGTGTGAGTGTACCTCTGACGGATGATTTCAATTATCAGGAAACACAGTCTTCCAACAAACTTGCTTTTCTCTACTATTGTTCCACTTTGAGCAATAGTATAAATGTGATCACAAAACTTACTCTGGCACTCTGGATTGTGACTCCATTTTCCACCGCGAGAACAGACGACCGAAGATACATCCGATAAGTTGTAGCCAGTGTTACAGGACAGGATTGCTATGGCGCCAATCGACTGATTATGTGTGAGAACCATGCCATTGTCAGGAGATTGTACTGGATCACAATAGTCAGATATAACTGCAAGAACCAAGGGCACAAGAATTAATAAGAGAGAAAGATATAATTATGTTGGACTCAGGTGGCATTCGTTGTCCAATAAACAGTGGAAAGTACAGTAGGAAATCAAACTCATGATCTAATTACTACGTCCGACAAGCAATAGTGGACAAGAAACAATAAGAAAGATATAATAATTATAGGGAAAAAAGAGAAGAAAGCACATGAGAACGAGGTATGCAGCAACTATCCACGACTGTAACAAGATGATAAAGAGTCAGAACGTGCGATAATAGGGCACAACAATGACAGGCTACTGAGACATTCAGAAACCGGAATGATCTTCTTGTTACAGTCGTGCTGCATAACTCGTTCTGCTGTGTTTTTCTTCTTCTCTTTTTTACATTTATTAATGGCCCAGTATCCGAGTTATAATATACTGTATAGCAGGAAATGTTCGCACGGAATTATTTTCGGACAAAGCCGAATTTCGACATTTCGTACGGATTTTATTTTCGTACAGTGGTGCATGTTAAATGCACTTGTTTGCTTGCGGTACGCATGTATAGTGTACTTAACTTCACAGGAACAAATTTTAGGACGGAATTAATTTTAGTACAAAAGAGGGCGTGTACGAAATCGTACGAAAATAAATTCCGTCCGAAAATTTTCTGCTATACAGTAGGGAATAATTGTTTTGGAAGCGTTATATATTCGTACGTTGTCCCCTGAACTATGTGTTCAGCAGGAAAATGTTTTGTCACTTCAGTTGTTTTGCGCTAATCCTCGTGAAAGTGTCAGGAACGCTGCTCCTCATTGATGTTTTCATTATGATTTTGTCATTTTTTGACCATTACCCTGTTTTTGATCTGTTCAGCTGAAATCTATTTTTTCCACTCCAATAGCGTGAGGTTCTTGATCTATGCTTTTGCTGTATGTAGCTCTATAAGTTGCTGTATATTGATATTCTCCATTATTCCCTGTACTTACCCATGATGAGAAGGGAACGAAAACGTTCACACAGATTGGCTTTACCTGACTGTGTGGATTTGGTCGATGTTGACGCCTTTTCTTTCAAAATTGGATACGCCTCCCATATTTTCCTCAGATACAATATAATTTTGCTGATTGTGTTCAGCAGAGCTCACTGACTTGTCAATTTGAGCACTCTGGAAAGATACTTTCGGGCCTGGTTTAAATATAGCTTTGGAAAATATATTTATTCTCATTGCTAGCAGTTGAGCACTCTCGTGTGGAGTTGAGATCACTCACATGCTTTATCCGATTATGACGGAATATGCTGGATAATTTGAACTGTGCATCGGCACTCAACTACTGTAAAAGTCATTATTCTAACGAGGCGCATATATAACGATTTCCCCAAATTGACTGGTTTACGTGTATCAAAGGTAACGATTCTCACTTATTCTCAACGCTCAATAAGTATATGTATCGATTTCTGTATAACGATTTATATTTTAGCGACAAATTTCTCCTCGTTAACTCGTTGGAGTTAGCACTTCGTTATATATATGTAGTCAGGGAGCCGACCTTCAAAAAAGTGGCGCTCCAGGTCGGGCGAGATGGAGTACAAGATCTCTTCAGCAATGGGTTATGGGTCTATCAGAGAAGGGCTTTCGAGTTCTTGGCCATCCCAAAGCTGTGCACGGACATCGCGAGGACGCATTTTGTTCGACGATCAAATTCACAATTGTCAAGCATTTAGGCGCAAATGTTTTTCGTTCTCAGCCGACTTCTCGGTTTGAGAAGTAGGTGCGCACGCTCAAAATTCCAAATCAGTGACTATGCGCCTGTCCAGAAGATGACGACGCTGCAAGCTTACTTTCTCAAAGCGTGACATACATTTTCATTACGATTTTGGCTTTGAAAGTGAGAATAGCATTGCCATCGTCAGGTCCACTAGTCACGAAGCATGGCGCTTCTGGACAAAAGCGCAACATAGAGTGTGTACCAGCAATAGTGCACAATAATACTCGCGCCTACTCCGGCAATTCTGCAACGCGTGCAAGCAAAGTTTCAAAAGTATATTTCCAGGTCTGACTGAGGTCGAGTCGAGCGAAGATTCCGGCAGAGTAGGCGAGATGTTGCTTGCTGACAAGTCGGCCTCCGCGTCCCTGAGTCCTGACTGCCAGTGCCACAGCCGTATGCACCAGTGACCAGTCACCGGACGTGCAAGATCATCATCACCCATGTCGGTACTCTGCCTGGCCTATTTATCTGCTGGTGGTGTCAACTCCGTTGCAGTTTGCCAGCTTGTTTGTTCCGGTACTCGTTCTTCACTGGTTCAGGTGAGCCTAGCAGCTTTTGCACAAAATACTTTGTGGATCCTGTGAGAGATCATGTAACTCGAAAACGAGACGTTGTTTGAAACAAAGGTAGAATGACAATCACTGCCAGTTCCACATGCACTTCTGACAGGAACTACGACAGACGTCTACGTGGCAGCACCAAAGGAGAGCATGGGATAGGCAACATAACAAGATAGAACATACATGCGCGCACGTGCATGCGTGCGAGCTTGTGTACACGCGCGCACGCCCACACACGCTTGCAAGCGTGTACTCACATGTGTGCGAGTGTGCATGAGTGCACACACATGTGACTCTCTGTTCGCACACACACACACACATACATGTGTGCGAACATGCGCGCATTCATCACACACGCGTGCGCACATACACACAGGTGGATGCGCACATGCCAATGCTCACACACACACACACACACGCATACACGTGCACGCACACACACGCGTGCGCGCTTGCACGCACATACACCCAGGTGGATGTGCACATGCAAATGCTCACACACACATACACGAATACACATGTACATGTGCACGACACACGCGCGCGCGCGCGCACACATAGGTGGATGCGCGCACGTGCATGTGTGCGAGCTTGTGTACACGCGCGCACGCCCACACACGCGCGCAAGCGTGTACTCACATGTGTGCGAGTGTGCATGAGTGCACACACACGCACACACACACACACACACACACATGTGACTCTCTGTTCGCACACACACACACATACATGTGTGCGAACATGCGCGCATTCATCACACACGCGTGGGCACATACACACAGGTGGATGCGCACATGCCAATGCTCACACACACACACACACGCATACACGTGTACATGTGCATGCACACACACGCGTGCGCGCTTGCACGCACATACACACAGGTGGATGCGCACATGCAAATGCTCACACACACATACACGCATACACATGTACATGTGCACGACACACGCGCGCGCGCACACACAGGTGGATGCGCGCACGTGCATGCGTGCGAGCTTGTGTACACGCGCGCAAGCGTGTACTCACATGTGTGCGAGTGTGCATGAGTGCACACACACACACATGTGACTCTCTGTTCGCACACACACACACACATACATGTGTGCGAACATGCGCGCATTCATCACACACGCGTGCGCACATACACACAGGTGGATGCGCACATGCCAATGCTCACACACACATACACGCATACACATGTACATGTGCACGCACACACACGCGTGCGCGCTTGCACGCACATACACACAGGTGGATGCGCACATGCAAATGCTCACACACACATACACGCATACACATGTACATGTGCACGACA